GATATAATTCGTACATTATTTTCATACATTATTTTCTCTTGTCAATTGCAAATGTTAGTTAGAGTAAACTTTGTAAATAGTTTCAAAATTGAACCATTTCTTACTAATTTGAATCGAGGAAGTACACAACGTACTCAAATAATTTTGTATTAAACTCATCCCGATTACCAAATAGCTCATTTATTATAAGTAAAGCTCGAGATAATTTATTTTAGGTTATAACATATAACTCATCATACAATAAATAAATAAATGAATAAACTCACTACCAACTATCACGCAATAAATTATGATATTAATTAGCTTTGCATAAAATATTGTAAAAGTCAAAACATGTCTACTAATAAGGACTAACGGAGCAACTTACATATACTCTGTAATAAATCAAAGATGATTTATGAGATAATGTATATTAGAAACTTATGATAAATCCTCAAATTATTATTACCTTTGTCTCACTTTACTTCCCTCATTCCATTAATAATAAAAAATAAAAATTAAAAAAAACTCATATACGTAGTAATAGTGATGCTCGTAGATAGTAATAGTGATGGACGTAGATAGTAGTCTTCAAAGATGATGTATTTGAGAGCAACTATTCCCGCGTTTTCTTTCAACTGACAAATGAATTTATTTTCTAGGATTTGAATGAATTTATTCTAAATTATTGATGATGTTGTTATACTAATTAATAAGGCAATGACGAAGCTATGACAAAATATCTTTGGTGGACTACTTCTTAACATGAGTTGGCAAAAAGTGCATTTAGCCTCTTATCTATTTTAGCTTTAATAATAATTGGTTTGCTTCCCTCACTTAGATACATTTAAACTCTAAAAAGAAAAATTGAGTGTTGACTTAATACATTAATACTATTTGATCAAAAATGATGAAGTGTACAAGTAGAAAGGAAAATTTAAATAAAGAAATAAATACTCTTGCTTTCTTGCTAGAAATAACCTCTTTTCTAAGTGATTATGTGATATTTCTCATTTGCCTCTCATGCATGTACACACCAATGTTTATACAAGTTCATCTTTATGATAGATAACAAATGTTTATTTAATGGCAATATGATAAATAAGTGTTTTTTTTTTTTAATGTTTATGAGTAATCCACTGCTTAAACTCTTTAAGAGTTGAAGTAGAAATTTTGCTTCTAGCTTAGATAAACACAAATCGTTAACCAAAAAGTCAATAGGGGCTCCCTCTATTTAATTTTTCTGTGTGGCTTCGGGATTACTTTTCAGGGTTTACTTAAAATAAGTCCGTCAAGAGTTACTTACTCAGAGGTTACTCAGTCGGTTAGTGTTCATCGGAGTTACTTATTTAGGAGTTACTTGGGTTACTTAATCGGGTTACTTATTCTGGGCTTGCTTAGTCGGTTAGCGCGCTCTGTGAGAGTAATCTCTGATCGACCGAGTAACCCTAGAATAAGTAACTCCAGCCACATGGTGTGTCCAGCCATATATAAACTAAAATCTATGAACAAAAATTATTAGTACCACATAAAAAAAGAAAAAGATAAAAAATAATAAATTACTTATCATCTAAGAGCGTCTTCAATGATTGATGAGAAATACTTGCTGCTTGCAATTTTTAAATAGTTAGAGCTATTAACTAGCTATCGTGGAGCTATAAGCCTATAAGGGTTGTAGTTTTGATAAAGCTATATAGCTCTACAATGCCACTTGAATTGAATAAATTGATTTGTTTTTTATTTTATGGTTTTTTTTTTAGTTTTTTTTTTATTAAATAAAGGTTGTAGTTTGTCCGTGCAGGTTATAGCTTATATAATGGAGTTTAAGAATAATGATGTGGCAACCCAAAACTACATTGAAATAAGGAAATGTTGCTAGCCATTGTGGATGCTGGCAACCCGTTATTCTTTGCTAATTAATTTGTAATTTCATTAATGTCGACATTAATGAGGGTTAATGCATGCTTACAAAAATTATAATAAACAATAAAAAAAAAAGGTGAGAAATCAATTTAGTCGTAGAATCCCATTATAAAAGCAAATATGTCCTCTCTTTCCTTACCTCTTCCTCTAACTTTCTACACTCGTACAAGTGTACAACCATAATTTCTTTTTTTTTTTTTTGTTCTCCTATAAACAAAAATTAGTACTCTAAAAAAAACAATTATGAAGTTAGATTAAAGATTACAAACCTAGAATCTTTACCTCTTAATTATATTACACCTTAATTATTTCCCAAATTCCAGCAACATAAAATATGTGCTATATAACAGCAAAATTAGCTAGAACAGTATTATGGATACTAATGTTTATTTTGTTGCTTAAACGAGTATTTCCCCTAGTAATCTCGAATTCGTTTCGCCTTTTGGACTTAATCAAGGGGCGTAAGTTCATGTATATTGTCCTTAATTTCATTATCATCTCGATCCTCATTTCTTCGTCTTCTTTTGTTCCCTATATAACCAATATCTTCCTTAAAGTACACGAAAAAACGCAACTTCGGTTTCATAGTCCAAAAGTTATGTCATCTTCTTATGGTGATGATGATACTTGGTGGTTTTGCACATACATGGATCATGAGCACCCTATGGAGTGTACTACAACATCAACAATAGTCGAGGAGGATGAAACTTTGTCGTTGTTTCAAGCTCATGAGCAAGAGCAACCCGCCGTGGAAAGTGCTACAACATCATCAACGTCGTCGTTTCGAGTAGAAGAAAAGAAAGAGAAAATAGGTGAAGTGAAAAACACGGAAGAAGAAGAGGGGGATGATTTGGATGCCACGTGGAAGGCAATCATGGAGTCAAAAGGCCTAGGAAGTATGCCCCAGCTAAGGAAGAGTGACACGTGGAGTTGCGGCGACGGTGGTGGAGAGGAGAGGGAGAAAGAAAAGGGGGAGATAAGGGGATTGAGTAAGTATAGGGTAAGTGGGAAGTTGAAGAAGTGGCAGAGTTTTCGAGAAATGGTGGAGAGAAAAACGAATATTGGTGGTGATAGCGGCGGTGGTGATGGTCGGGAGAAGCCAGGGTGGAGGAGTATGGATGTGGCGCTGACGTTTCATGATGAGTTCAAGAAGCGAGCTGATGCGTTTATTGCTCGGTTTACTCATGATATCCGCCTTCAAAGATTGGAGTCTGACCAACGTTTCTTAGAGATGATTAACCGTGGTCTTTAGTCAAATTTATTTTCTCTTACCTCATGAGTTTGGTTAATTGTCTAACAGTTTGTTAGTCAATTAGCACAGTAGAAAGTCTTTGTTACTTGTACTTCTTTGTCCTTTCCTAGCGTATCCTCCAGAGCTAATTACTAGAGTTTGGCTCATTTAGGTCAAATGGGTGAATTTGATCTCGATGGTTACCTAATTACTATCTCTTTCACATTTTGTTACCTCATTACCCTAAATGGCATAGTCGTTACTTTGAATTATTAGGGTAATGTTGTTGAAAGAGATAAAAAATGGTAATCATACAAGTTACGGATACAAAGAGTAAGTTTAAGATGGTTTATTTACACAAAATTTGGGAAGTCTACGCTCCTCTAAGCTCCTCTAATGTACGAAGATGGGAATGAATGTCAAATATTTTGTAATATTTTTTTTATTTTTTTTGGTGCAAAAATATTTTGTAATATTCTTCTTATGTTTGTTCAATATAATACCAAATATCAATCTCAAAATGATAATATCAGTTGACTCTTTACCCTTTTATGAGTTGTATTATTATCCTCTTGTAATAATCTCAAAATGATAATATCAGTTGACTCTTTACCCTTTTATGAGTTGTATTATTTTCCTATTGTAATATTAATACATACGTTATATTAGTAAATTCTAACTAAATTGAAAAATCCGACTAGAACAACCCCTGTTTGATAATTGAGATTATCCATGAACCCGTCGTATTAATGGATAAAAGGGTCAAAGTGTCTTTTTCTAAATTGTTTATCCAATACCACTGAAAAACAAAAATTACGGGGTAAAAAAAATACTAGTGCTCATTTTTATTTACACAGAAAATCTTGCGTGGACCTGGTCCACAATAATGTTATTGTGGATCCGAGGTTTATACACACGTAACTGACATTATATTAAACATAGTAACCCCTAATTTTGACATAGTAACCTTATTTTTAACATAATAACCTTTATTAAAACTAGTATAACGTTTAATATTATTGTGAACTTAAAGTACAACATTATGACCCTAATTTTAACTTTTTTTTTTTTTTTGAAAAAACCCTAATTTTAACATAGTGACCTTTATTATTCAAATTAACCAGTGTATAAATATTTCATTAAAAAAATTAACCTTTTATAGCATATATATATTACCAAAATGACTTTTATTTCAACATAGAGACCTTTATTCTATTAAAGTGACCGTTTTTTTCTAATAAAACAACCATAATTTCCCTAATGTAGTGTTCCACAATAAATTAGTGTGAACCAGGTCTATTTAAGAATTTGTAGTCTTTTTAACGTGTGATTTTGTAATCACTTTTTATAATTTTTATTAATAAGTAATTAAAAATATTGACTGCCTAAAAGACATCTTAAGACTGCAAAGTGAATTAAGTACTATCCGTACTTTAAAAAAAAAAAAAGAAAAGAAAAGAAAAAAAAAACCCACTGTTCTACTCGTTGAAAGAGAATGGGAAAAGGCTGACCTTGGGAACAACCTAAACGAAAAGAAGGGCCTGAGACAAGAACAACAACCTAAACGAAAAGAAGGGCCTGAGACAGCAACAAGACGTTTAGGCTAGCGCCAAAAAGAAAAATGATAGGGCCATAGAATTTCACACCCCTTGGTGGCTATATATACCCCCCAAAAAAAAAGTCGATATCATGAAACATACTCCATATTTTTCGTCCATAACAAACCATTGCCAAGTGAACATTTTAACCACTTCTAGATATCGTACGTATACTTCCTATTGATCTAATTAGTCAATTCAAAGGCAATACGTTTTTATTCGGACAGTTCTAACTTATTGCAGCAAGTATATTCAAGTCCCAATCAAAATTTAGCATTGCAACTAGGAGCTTGTATAAATCAGCAAATATAACTTTGATTCAAATTTCACTCACCTAAACTGATGTATGAACTGCTATTGCTACTGCTAATATTACTAGCATTCATTACAACTCGAATGCTACCAGCAAATTGCACAGTATTTGCTGTTCATTAACTAAGAAACATGATATTGTTACAAAATTGGAGGTCGATCACAGTTGAAACTCACAAGGAATCAAATGAATCATCAAAATCGTAGACATAAGATCTCTTACATCCTGGTACCTTGATAAATAGTCAAAATTGAAGAGATTTTACAAGATGCATTGGACACCTATGATGTAAGCTTGAAGGATTGCAAAGCAACACCATTTCTAGCTGTAGATATACGATCCCACCTTCCAAGACGTGGTTCCTGCATTCAAGTGGACAATAGCTTAGCAACATGTATTAGCATTATTTAGGGAAATAGTGACAGAGTGACTGTTTCAGAGCCATATAACCAAGCATAACAAGACCTAAAAGACATTGTTTGACTAAATCAGAATAAGCACGTCTAATTTTAACAAGTCGATTACATTCCTTATCCAACAGTGAGTGAAAAACAAACAACCAGACAGTCAGTATTCATTCAGTTTATTCGCATAGTTTGTCATTTGTGCACATAATTTATCTAATCCATAACAGACAACACCTTTATCCCGATGCCATATAAAAGGCTACCCACTTATGGTGACTGAAAATGGATGCAAACCTTAAGACGAAATTTTTTTTAAAAAATACTTATAGATTAGATCCCCTTTTAGATACACCATATGGTGTTAGAAATGCAATAGCAAGAATATTTATTTGTAACAGCAATCAATGCAATACAAGTTATTCCAATGAACAAAAGAACAGCCTAAACTTAGCCTAGATGATCAAAAACCGTATATAACAATTGATATACATACACCAATATATTGCCATATAGCTTTTCAATACAAGTTGAAAAGGCAATAATACCAGACTTGAAATTTAGCTCCCTCCATTTACGAATCGAAAGCAACATGGAGAAAATTAGCAGACTCAAGGCCGTGATTATTCCTTAATGTTTTTGACTGTTACTATTTACACAAGAGTTAGCAAAAGAAGAAAGAGCGTAAAAGTGGGGCTGCAAGTGGCCAGAGTGAGCCATAGCAATTTGCTAAGCAGTCATACAATTTCAGAGCATTCTCCCAAAACACTATAATAAGCTGTAAAGATGCAGTCTGCATCCTAATGAGCCAAATAATAGGAAAATTTGATAAATACCATCTATTGTTACCAAAATTGAAAATACCACCTCAAGGTTTTATTTTTTGAATTTTAACACCTAATTTTTTCCTTAACTTTTGAAAATCCCACCTCTTTCTTAGATGACGTCATTATAGGTCCCACATATTCGTATTCCCTCTCTTTCCCATGATTTCCCCTATTCTTCTACTCCCTTCTTTCAATTTCATCTCTCAAATTTGATTTCTATTACACAAATTTCGCAAATTAGGTTATAATTTCTACAACCTAACCTACAACGAACTGAATTAATTAGTTTAATTAGGGTTTGGGTAATCAATTTGGGGATTTTGCTAAATTCGACAAATTAGGGTAATCAATTTGGGGGTTTTGCTAAATTCGACAAATTAGGGGTTTATTCGTGGTAATTACTTGTTTAATTGTCCACTTATTCATTCAATTTTAACTTCATAAACCCTAATTTGTCCAATTTAGCAAAACCCCCAAATTAATTACCCAAACCCTAATTAATCTAATCAATACACTTCGTTTTAGGTTAGATTGCATAAATTATAACCTAATTTGCGCAAATTTTTGTACATGCCATCAAATTCCAGAAACGAAATTGGAAGAGAGGGGAGAAGAAGAACAAGATAAGGGAAAATCGAAGGAAGAGAGAGGGAAAACGAATATGTGGGACCCACAATGACGTCATCTAAGAAAGAGGTGAGATTTTCAAAAGTTTAGGAAAAAACTAGGTGGTAAAATTCAAAAAAAAAAAAAAAAAAAAAAAAAAAAAAAAAAAAAAAAAACTTGAGGTGGTATTTTCAATTTTGGCAACAATAGATGGTATTTATCAAATTTTCCCAAATAATATATACACAACACAAGCAAAATAATATAAACAAATTAATAAATTCACCTGCCCAACTCCAGCAACAAGAAATCTACCAGATTTTGCAATAGCCAAGGAATTCACATACCCCACCTGCATCAAAAGAAAAGGAGGATAATAATCAAAATTATGCAACCAATTAATAAATATCACAATGCATAAAATCAACAAAGGAACAATTACTTTGTCACCGACAAACAACATTTTTTTTAGAAGATTTATACCAGAAGCACATGGAAAATGGAAAATGGAAGATAAAGAACAATTAAACTTTTTAAATGAAAATTTTAAAGATTATAAAAAAATAATAATAAGAAGAAGAATAAAAATACAACAGCAGTAACAATTTAAGAAAGCATAAATGGTGAAAGAGGTGTTAGAAAGATAACCCATAACATATAAGAGTATTATTGCAGACACAAAAGGTAATGGGACAGTGTACATCAATCGCATATCACTAATTTAAAAACCATATATAGAGAAGAAAACCGTCATCGTTTAAGTTCAAAGCACAAGTATCCTTAGCCATATGAAGGATCATGAATCATCCACAACATGTACCTTATTGTAGGAGATATATTATAGCAAATATTGCACATGTGAAGACCTATGTGGGTGCCAAAGGAGACATCAATTTGCTTTCCACTATTTTCTATTATCAAGAGAAGGTGGGGATTATTACTTTACTAAAGAAAGTATCCTATTCATGTGAAATCACCAACACGATATCAAGGGAGCTATAACCAATTTTAATCAAATGACTATCGTTCCCACTTGCTGACTTGCATGATGGAGGCAAGTAGTGTATCTAAAAAGGAATATTGAGATTCCGGGAATATTCCCTGTCACAACAAAGACTCAAAGAGAGACTAGAAAAAGGGAAACAACTTCTACCCCAAGAATATCAAATACTTTAGGTGAGCCATGTCTATCTTCCTTCCATCAAATTCTTCCTCCATTATCACTAACCAGTCATAGAAGCACTTTCATATGATACCCAAAGCTCCACAATTAGTATCCAGCATATTTGATTCCAACTGATCAATATGACCCATTACTAACTCTGTTCCTAAGACATATTTTTTAGTTGTAACTACCTTGTTCCTAATTTCCTATGTTACACGGACTCATGTACTCATGTTGAGTATCCAGCATCAAATTGGCTATATCGTGAAATATGTACGTGATTTTGGTTCAAAACGAAGTGTAAAAGTGTCCTACTGATGTTGGATGTCTAAGATTTGACAAGTATACCTTGAGGTGAAATGAAGTGTTATAGCATTGTTCTATTTTCAATATTTTGGACCAAAGAGTATCTACATGAAAGATATAATACTTCTAACCTCTTGTCTGTACTTATCAGCTCCATTTAATAGTTCTATATTAGACACCTTCACCACTGTAGTCACACATCTTCCTTGCAATACTACCAATCTATTGCTTCAGCCACAACAACCTTCTTGCAGTGCACCACCAATCCAATTATATACTCCCTACTCATCGACACTCATACAGTCATGATTATATATCTGCTTAAATATGAGCAATAGGGACACATTATGTACCCATAGCCACTCGTGGTTGTGGTGCCTTTTCTGGTTTTTAGCATCACCATCCATATATTTATTTTATTTTTATTTTTTACTCTTTAATTTCATCTTTTATTTTACTCGTTTTAGTTTAGTCGTTGACATCCCAACCATATGTCGCCGGTTAAGTGAAATTAACTTCACATTAAAATCATGACCATATTCTCTCTTAAGAAGGCCTCTTTATCCAATCACTAGTATCATTAGTACTAGGACTTTGATCCGAAACATATAATCTGGAACGGCTACAAGCATTGCAAAAGAAAACACAGTATCTCCTTATATTCTCAATATATTTAACACTAGTCAAACACCATGTTATTGGCTCTCACCTCACTGCTAAAATGAATGCATTGTATAATAAAAATAAATTTTCTTCATTGTCTATATTTCTTGTCTGACACGGTATGACATAAATCAGAATCTATATACTAATTCCTCAATTTTAGTAGTTCTGCTTAAACTAGAATTGTTTCCCTAGTCAGAAGTTTAACTATTAATTTCTATTACAATCTTATTAGTAAAATTCATAAAAATAAAAGTGTCATCATTTAGATTTATACAATGAGACAAAAACGGTGAGTTTTATTTTAATATTTTTAGAAATAAGATATATGGACAAAGTGAGGTATGTAAATAGCCCAATATGTAGAGGTGCAGCTACAAAAAAAGCAGAGGTTCTAATATTTGACAGTTGACATCCGGTTTATGATCAACAAGAATTTACATTAAACATTTTAAGAGCACTACCAAATTTAAACACAATATTTCAACTCACCAAAGGAACATCAAATAAGGGTGCAACAGCTTTGGTCTCACTGTTGATTTGCCATAATCGAACAAACCCATCTCCAGCACCGGATGCAGCAAGGTCACTATTCCTGCATACAGTGACAGAGCTGACCCAGGACTGTGCATTTGAGCATGGGCTACTTGCTTTAAATTCACTACTATCTGCAAAATTGTAAAAACACTGTTCTTCACTAATGCAAAGGAATCAAGTGAACATGCTGTTTAAACAAAGAAACTGAAAGTTAACTTAGCAAAACAGTTATATATCTGAATTTCATCAATTACCAATTAGACTAGAGTTGGCTATACTGGATATGAGTCATATGACAACGCAAAACCAGTATACACAGCCTAAACTTGACACAATATACTAAGAAAAATAAGCATTCATGAGCATAACTGAGTTGAATTTGATGAGTCTTGACTCGTTAAATGAATCATGCCACTGATAAACTAGGTACAATCCTATTATGTACTATATACAGCTTCACATAATTAAGATACAAATTGATCCCAATCTGAAGCTTACATTACATGAAGCCAAGCCCATTACAAAAAGATAAACTAGGTAATATATTCCATAACAAATAGGATTGATTACAAGCTGTGAAATTAACTTTAATCCAAATTAGGAAGCTTCTAGTTCTTTTCATAACACGCATGGCACTAAAGTAGCTAGACAAACCACAATCCTAACTTAATAATACTGATATTGTATTGTTCTTCTGACACTTTTTTGGCTTTGTTGCCCATAGACCTAATCTTGTATATCTTTGTTCTTTTCCAATCAGATTTAGAAAATACTTACATAAATGCAATAAATTGTATTTGTTCAAATGACAGATGCTTCTAAATAGTTATAATAATTGTAAAAAATTAATTAATAAACCAGCACTTTAAGTAGGTTTAAAGAAGAAATGCTAAGTTCAGTTGGCATGTTTGTATAAGTTCATATAAGGAATTTTCAGGTGAAACTTTAATATGTAAAATTTGCTATTTGATCAGCAAACTTAAACTTAATAGCCCATGCCTTCTAAACTTTCAATAGAGCAAGTGCATTTGATAAGGCATGATTGCATAATTACAAGAAAAAGATGATTTACCAATCTGACCATTAGACATAACTCCGTTGCTATTTAGCTCTACTTGCTTCTTCAATGCAGACAGAGTGTGAGCATTTTTTACAATAGAGACCGGCTTTTTACGCAATACGCTCCACAGCTCAATGCTTCCGTCATCAGATCCAGACAAAAATTCATCATTACCAGCAAAGCAACAGCACTCAAGAGCAGAAGTAGAAGACCGGTAAACCAGACGTGACTCCTCCGGAACCTTTCACCATAATAAATAGGAAATTATTATAAGAACAATATGAGATAAGATAAACATACATTGTACAACATCGATGACAGTTTTAGCACAGGCACACAGCAACAAAACCTTTACACAACTCAAACAAAAAGACCCTAAAGTTTTAGCTATCAATAAAAGTAATGAGTTTCAAATTAAGAAAATCCTTAACCTTTGAACTACTTTATATTCACAAGCCAAATTTAATGTCCAAAGATAGCTTCTCCTATATCAAAAGTCATGAAAAATAATAGTATAGCTTAAGTTTCAACTTTTAAACAAATAAAAAATATAGTACTTCAATAAACGGAAAGTTAGATGTTATTTTTAACATGTTTACATTATTTAACTCTCGTAATCAGAAATTTCTGTGTCCATTTTTCTCTTTTTATTGGAGGGTTGCAGTGAGAGCCATAAGCCAGTAATGAAACTTTCCTTAAAGCACAAATGTGACTGATAAATGGTTTAAAATGTCCTCATTCCTCTTAATCAGTATGGCTCCCAAATGATAATGTTTTGAACAAATGTGCCTAAGATGTACTTGTCAATCTGTCATATTCGAATTTTCCATGTTTTAACAGATCATATTAGGTATATAGAAAACTTTCAGGATGCTACATTCAACAGAGACCCCACTGATGGCTTATCAAGCTCAATTGATGTAGTAAAAAGAAGAATAGAAAGATTATGCTGAATACAAACATTAATATACTTTGATCATATAGCACAAAAGCAAAACCATCGTAAACTGGTACATCAACTAAAATACAATTCAAGTACAAAGACAAGAGACAAGAATAGTTAAGTGAGAGTTACACCATAGGGAGTGATGGGAAAACTACCTTATACAACTGCATAGTTCGATCACGTCCAACAGTCAATGCCCGTTCTTTTCTCATACAATCAATGCTTAACACCTCACTTTGATGACCAAACAATGTTGTTATGTACGCTCTATCTTCAGCATTCCAAATCTTAACTGTTCGATCAAATGAACCAGAAAAGATTTCTGAAGTCCCTTGCCTAAATGTCAAACATGACACAGGTCCTCTATGACCTGGAAAAGCCTGTCAGTCAAATCAGTTGGGCTGCAATGGATACCACTAAAGCCAATAGATGTAGCTACCAACATAGTATTGCCACAATCGGCCATATAATTACCTATCATCCCAGAACAAGACAGACAAACCACAAGACAATTATTGGTAAACCAGTAAAACATATTGGCAAGTTACAGAATTAAAAAATCTCAAGGAAACAGAATTTCTCACTCAGACCACCACCCCCTTGTTGCAACCATGCTACCCCAAAATTTTTTTGTCAATGTTCACTCTGCAAGACTTTGGCTGCCTTGCAAAGAAATTGATACTAAAAGTCATTTAATTACACACTTTAAATAATAAATTAATCATTGTGAGATGCATCATACACAAGACTATTGAAATTATGTAACCTTTCTTGGACTTGAAGGCGGCATACAACAACTACAACAAATAAAGCAATATCTACCTGAATATGCTCCCGTGTACGTGTATCCCATAAATGAACATGACGATCAAAACCACCGGTAGCTAGATAACGGCCATCAGAACTAACAGCCAATGCTAGGATATCCTTACTATGCTTCATTACTTTACCCTTCTTATTTGATTGACCCTGTGGATCTTTAACACCATGGGACTTCAAGACGTCTTCAGAGGGCCAAAGATATTTTTCTGCTTTTCTAATTTCAACATCCCAGTGGGCAATACCACCATCCTTTGAAGCTGAAAACCCTCTTCTATCATCATCAGACAGAGCTACAGCAGTAACAGATTGCCGATGCTTAAATAAAAACTCTGGTTCTTCTTTATCTTCTAACTTCTGTAATCTACACATCAATCACAGTAACAATCAAATCTCAAAAATTAACAAATATGAACATTACAGTTTGTCTAATGTATATTCTGAAAGCCAATACATAGCCTCAAATCCTCAATAAGTGTGTGTTTGAAGATTCTAGAATCAATAACATTGTAAGATAGTTCAATTGGATTTTGTTTCCAAATTCAATAAGCCCAATGCATAAAATAGATCAACACTATCAGCTACATCCCACTTCGGGCATACCCACGAATATTCCACATTATCACACTGCAATGCTTGATAACATGATACAAAGAACAAAAACCAAATGTTAGAAAAACTGGCCCTTTAAGTACAATCAAGAATGTCAGAAACTTTTACTCCATTTCACAACAATTTAACCAACTACATACACACAGCCATATACAGCACTAAAATTACTCAAATTTCCTCCAAAACAAACACTCAAAATTTAACATCTCAAGTCAAATAGAAAAACCCACAAAAATTCAACCAATAAACATTCAAATTACATATAAACAAACCCCAAAAATTTGAGTATAACTCACTTGGAAGCGATCAATCTACGAGTTCTACCACTATCTTCAAGCTGCTCCTGCTGCAAAATCTTAGCAACAAGAGAATCCCTAATCCCACCTCTCTCCTCCCTCTCATCATCATCATCATCATCTTCATCCTCCTCTCTTTCTTCCTCCTCACCTTTCCTCACTTTCTGAACAAGTTCCCATGCCAATCGCCGCCTTCGCTCGTCGACAGTTTCTCTCTCCAACTCCTCCTCCTTTTCCTCCTCCTCTGTTTTCTCCTTCACCCCACCATTACTTTCATCCTCAAAGAAATCATCCCCACCATCCGACATGTCGCTCGCAATCTCACCATCAAACCCATTTTCTTCTTCACTGCTATCAAATTTGCGCCGCCTTTTCGAGTTATTCTGCTTTGCGAATGAACTGGCTCGTCCCTTAGCAAGGGCAGGAGTGGCGGCCGCCCTTCGCCCAGAAAGCAAAGGTCGTTTTTTATGGTTTCTTCCTGACATTAATGGGTTCTATAAACTACAACCTGCAACAAATTAGCAACCAAATTTGACTCAATTGGGCCCAGAGAAACGAGGTCTAATTCATAGTTGAATCCTTACATTAAAGGGTTGTGCAATACATTACATTAGCAACCAAATTTGATTCGAAAAATCACATAATTTTAGGATTCAATAATCAAATTAGGCTCATAATTTTCTTATCATTTGGTTATCGTAGAATTTAGAACAAATATACTTAATGCAGTGACAATTAAATTAGATTGTGAAATTGATATGATGATAAAAAACAAACAACTTACCACGGAAGCTGCTTCAATGGGGTATACAAAGCTTTCTTCAATAGGGGATACAAGTATTACAAGGATTCAGAGAAAGTGAACTGCGCTTCAGTGGAGAACGTTGAGTGGCGCTTCAGTGGAGAACGTTGAGTGCGCTTCAATGGAGAACTCAGACACAGGTAGGGTTTAAGGCCTTGGATTCGATGGGGGGATATTTACTTGATTCAAAATAATCAAGTATAAAAAGCCATGACCCGGCCGGTTATAAATGGGTTAGATCCGTCTATCATAAATCAATAGGGCGAATCTATAATTCTATATAATGAGACAGGACGGGCCTTGATTGTTTAAAGTAAACTAGCTATGACTATGGCGATATCTAATGTTAAACAATATTTGTAAGTGAAAGAAAAATTTAATATAATAATTTACTAGTGTTTTGCCCGGGCGATACCCCACGTCAACATTATATATTATTGTAATATAGTTTTCATGTGTACTTATGTAGATGATGAATTTGGGTGTAACACCCTAGAAATTTCTTTTTTTTAAAATACCTGTTTTGCCCTGTTTAAAACTCAAAATAGGAAAATCTAAGACATTACCGCCACCGTGAAAACGACTAAGGCAACTATCAAAGACACACAGCGAAAGACTCTCGTTTAAAATATTTAAAACGACTCAACTTAAAAAGTCATCCAACGAAAGTAAAGTCAAACCAAAGTAAAACAAAGTCAAACCTACAACTTGGAACCAATGTAGGCCCTTAACAAAACCAAACCAAATTCAAAACCTTTACGTTAGTCTCACAAACAATAATATCATAAAATAATTAAAGTAATAAACAAACTTATGAAAACTAGCATGATTCACTCTTCACTCAATGTCCATCGTGAATATGATTTATCACCAGAAAATCTTCTCTCTACTTATTTCCACTACTCTCCATTAAAAATAGGTCATCATAGGACCAAGTTAAAGACAAGGCCAACAACACACAGACACACAATCAGCAAAGTTGAGTCCATAAGTATAGTTAAACACACTAACATGCTTTTACCTATCAACACACAACTTACCTTGTTGCACCTATTTTCAAGCACACAACATACAACAAAACTTTTGAACTAAGTAACTAAATAATTTATTTAATTTTGATTACGTATCGAACTGGTTTCTCCCCTAACCTGCCCCAATAAAGGGATGCTAACACGGGAACTAACCGTGCCAGTATAAAAGAACCACTCATATGTGGCGGAATTCTTGCATATAATTATAAAAGGAAAATACAGCGTCTTGTATTCCCATTAGAAATTATGGTTAAATATATAACCCCATAACTCCCACCATATGTTTATACTCAAGGTATATACGATCCAATAGTTTTGGTGCGTAATCTCTTTCACTTTACGTTATTTACATATTATTAAACTTGGTGATGACTCTTGTTTCGGGGTTTTCTGATGTCCTGTGGGAGAGTTACAATTCCGAGACTGGAACCGGACGCCTGTACCTGCAAAACAAACGGATGCTCCGGATGATTGGAGATCCGCCTCCGACGGTCAAGTTAGCACTTGATTAAGGAGTAACTAATGCGGAAATTAAAGTGATTGGGTCTCTCTAGGTGAGAGTGTTTAATGTGTGTAATCTGCGTAATCTCCCTTAATGAGGTTTAAGGGAGGTATTTATAACCTCGGGAAACGTGCCAATCTAGGTTTAGGTTAACCTTGGGATGATTGGGCTTCCCTCGGAAGTTGGGCCTAGGTGACCGGCTTCTCCATTAGGCATGGAGTATGCCACGTGTCATGACATAATAAGTCCAGGGTGGACGAATAAGCGTGTGCCACGTGGCAAGCCCTGAGAGGTCCAACTGGGGGACACTTGGCAGGACCTGATTGGCCCACGTGGCGCATTCCGATTGGTGGGAGAAAAATCCCCTAATCATTTGCCCCTCACAGGTGGCACGTGACTGGTCACGTGTTACCTATGACAGGTGTCACCCTGTAACAGGCGACGGCCTGCTACAGGTGTCACTCGGCGAGAGGCCGAGAGATTCTCCTGCCAAAATTTTGAATTTTGGAAGTGACCCTTCGCCTTCTCACTTCGCCTATATAAAGGAGTGTTGACTTCGGTCATTTTCACACTTGAAAACTTTGTGAGAGAACATTCGGACCCCTGAACTTGCTCTGACATTTTGGACCCTTTCAGCCTACCGCCTGCTCTGACAAGCCGACTGCAAAGGATTTTCAGAACTTCATCAATCGTCACTCGTTCAGGTAACCGTCGGTTCTCTTACTCTTAATTTTCTCTTTACTTTATTCTTTTTTGAAATGGCACCACGGAAACACACGACACGACCTAGGTTAGTGATCAGCCGGTCACCGGGGACGGCTGAATCTAGGACTAGGAGTGCCGCCTGCCCTTTTCTGGACCCATCTTTGCCCTTTATACAAAGTCCGACTGTATCTGTGTCTATGTAGAGCATGATGGCCAGAACAAAAAAGACTGCCAGGATCTCAAACTCAGATGGCTCCTCCCACAGGGTGCCGATTAGTGAAACATCTGACCAGGCGCCAGATGTGGAAGTGAAACAAAGCGGCTTGAAAGCCGACAGTTCTGAGGGAGGAGTCAAAGTGACCCCTTCCCATTTATAGTTGACAATTCTACATTCTCTCCTGCTCCTTTGAAAGGAGAGGAGGCGGGCCCCTCCGGGAGAGGGGAGGAGTCGTCCTCTTCGGACTCGTCAGAGGACGAATCCGAGTCTAGCTCTTCTGGCCATGCTTCTCTGGACACAGAAGAGAAAAACAGTCGCCTACAAGAGGCGAGGCTTTCTCACGCAGTTGAGAAGGGGGACGATTGGGCGGAGCCATCCGCCTCTAACCGAGAGCAAAATACCCCCTACTACTGCACGGTACCTCGGGGCCGGATCACGGCCATGCAAGAGAAAGTGGGGAGCTTTATCGCAAACCACACAATGGGCCCCGACTTTTTAGTGTTCGTGCCGGATCCAGAAGACACAGTCGTCTGGCCGGCTGGTACCAGTTATGATGGCGCCTGCTTTGGCTGCTACGAGGCGGCCATCAAGGCTGGGCTGCGCTTCCCACTACATCCGGTTGTTCAGCGGATCTTGGATGGGTATGAGTTGGGGTTATGGCAGTTAGCCCCGAACTCCTGGGTCAACGTACTCGGCTATGTGGCCGGGTGCGAACTGCACGGGGTGGAGCCGAACTTCGAGGCTTTCGCCCACATGAACTACCTCAGCCGGACCCCTAAGGCAGGCGGTACCGGCTGGTATCAATTGACGAGCCACGGAGGCTACCTCATGACGAGAGGTAAAGCAAACAAATGGAAGGACTGGCGGAGCACCTTCCTTATCATTGAGAGTTCAGACACAGAGCTGAACAAGTGCTTCAACAGGTGGAACAGGAATCCGCCCCTTCTTGCAGGCGGCCGCAGCATGCCGCCTGTTCCCCCCAAGGCTAAGAAAGAGATCCTAGATAAAAGACTCTTCAAAGTAGAGTCGAAGGTGAACTCTACTTCAGGGGTACGAGAGCAAGTACCCCTGCACTGCGTCCCGAGCTTCAAATGGCTCTACGACGAGTACTTTTTGGCCGCTTGTGGCCTCAGCAGTCGGTGCTCAAGAGGTAGCCGGCCTGTCGAATACTCTGTTGTTCCGTGCATTTCTTGTTATGACTTTTATTAACTTTGCTATTTGTTTTTGCAGCGGACGCCATGAGCAAAATTACCGCCTCCAAGACTGCGGCGGCCATGTTGCGGGCCTCCATCATGCAACAGTCTTCAACCGACTCCCCCAACAAGGGGGCACCCTTGGTGGGCTTCGAACCTTTCACCCTCTTTTTGGAGTTGTGTTTATGCATATACTGACTCTTTTCTTCTTTTTTAGACGAGCGCTCCAAGAGCTTCTTCTTCCCAACAGCCGAACCCCAAGGCCCGGAGGACGACTGTTGCGAGCTCTCCTGGTTCTTCCAGGAAACATGCGGCGGCTAAGAAACAGCCGGCCACTTCTTCTAAAACTCCCGCTGGGCCACCTAGAAGTATGAAATTGTCCTTGTAAATTTTAGACTTGCTCCCTCCTTTACTAGGTCTAATCCGTTTGTTTATGCTTGATGCAGTCGGCCCTCAGGAGCCTGACTTGGTCGAAGTGGCCAAGTCTATGATCAAGGCCGTACCTCCAGCTGAAAGGGAGGCGGTCAGGGGTGTCGGCACCCTTGACCTAGACGGGATTGCAGGGGTCCTTGCTGAGGTATACTTAGCATATTTTTGAGTATTTGAATTCCAGGACGCCTGTTTTCTTTTTTGTTTGGAAACTGACGCCTGTTCCCCTTTTTACTTAGGCCCTGCTCCGAGTGAACGACCTTCGCAAGCCGCTTGACCGGAAGAACAAAGAGGTAAAGGCTGCAAAAGCTATGGTCGCCTCTGACTGTGATAAGGCAATGTTTCAAATTGCCCAAAATGAAGTTCTGACAATTGATATTCTTTATTATCAGGCGCAGGCTACCGCCGCTATCCGGGCTCAGTTAGAGGCGGCCTAGAAGAGGAATAGCGAGCTGGAGGCGACCATCAACAACCTCAAGACCGAGCTGAGACCTCTTCGCCAAAAGATGTCCTCATACGAAACCTTGGAGAAATCCTTGGCGAGCGTAAAGGAACGCCTGGTGACCCAGGAGAAGAGTCTTACTCAGGAGCTCTCGGAAAAGGCCGAGCAAGAAAAGAAAGAGCTGGTCCGGGAGATGATGGAAGACTCTGCTCAAATCCAGCGCATGACTTGGGGCCGCCTCTTCCCCAATGCCGACTTTGCCTCCTGGGAAAAAACGTACCGCCAGTGTTCTGATAGATATAATCAAGAGATCCTGGCGGCTGCTGAGGAAGAGGCGTTGGAGGAGGAGGAGCAGCCGGTAGTGGCGCTTGTGCCGCTTGGGGGTAATGCATCGAAGAAGGATGCAGCTGAAGCCGAGTCCAGTAAAAAGAGTGCTGACCAGGCGGCAACTGCTAATATTGAAGATTTGCCCCCTTCATAAGCTTTATGTCTTCTTTCCCCGGCCTGCGTGCCGTTTGTTTGTATTTACCCGGCTAGGGGGCCGGGGCTCTGAATATTTTGCCGGTCTTTAATGACCGGCTTCCTTTTAATGAATATTTTTGTTTTGCTTCAAATTTGTTTAAGTATTGAATATTCTGATATCCAATTGTACACTATACCGACTGTTTTACATG